AGGTGAGAACGCCCTTTTGCGACGAGCAAATGGCATAAGGTGCTGATTAGGTGTGCGCTACAGGCTCGACTTCTACAAACAGGTACGATACAGGCTCGATATTTTGTCGTGGCAAGTGTGGGGGTTGCTAACACCTTCTAGAAACGTTTCATATGTGAAATCACCGGCCATTCCAGCTTAAGCTTTTTCGAAGCACATCGGAGTGAGGTGCGTGGTCCATCGGGGCGATCAACATCACTTTCATCTTTGCCTGTTGCTGACTTCATCATGCAGACTGCTGGCTCAAAAGATGTGGACGAAACATTTCCGGAAGCTTTGAAGGAGCCGGTATTGCGCAGGGTTCAATTCCAAACCATCTCCAGAGTAGACAATCTAGGTAAGTTGTGGTGGAGCTCTTGGGTTTTTAAATGAGATGGTTTGCTTACGTTTCGTGTGTTGTAGTCGACCACTTGTTTGAAGTAAGTCCAATTCCTACGTCGGCCATTCTAACCGGTGCATTCTAACACTCTTAACAGTTATTCAAGCAAGACTTCTACCCTGGAGAGACTGTGATGGCTTTCCTTCCGTCTGGAGATCGGACAGAGGCCATCATTCGGGAAAAGAGTCGATTTCCCGAGCTCCGAAATCCCACAACCGGCGAAGTTGAGCGGAGGGCTTGCTCTCGCTATGTCGTCAAACTACCAAATCGCAATGACATGGAGACAAATGTTGACGACGACCAGCTAGTACGAGATCGCAAGGTATTCACAAAAGCAATGCTTCGCTCATTCATCAAGAACACTGTATCACGAGAAGCTTGGACTGGCGCTCCCTGGGTGGTCAAGGAACAGTATGCAACACGATACAAAATCGACACCACAATACCACCACATCTCACCAGAGGTCTGACGGCGGCAGATCGAAAAGCAGCTCTTGCCCGTAGGAAGGAACAGGAAGCGGCAATATTGGGGACTGTGCGAAGCGTTAGTGTAAGTGCGACTCCTGCGGAGAGTACTAGCACGTCAACTCTTGATATCCGACCTGTCCCCACCCCAACTAAGAGTCACAAGAGCAAGAGTCAGCAAGCGGCGATGAAAACCGGAAAAAGCTTCGATCAAGCAGCCTCGAGTAGCCCGAATGAATCACCAGAATGCGAAATCCCAGCACCTGTCGCGCCCGTGAGTAAGGTTGTAATCAAGCAGCAGGAGCCAAAGCCAGCTCCCACACCAAAACCACCGCCACCAGTCGTCATCCGATACCCCATTGAAGACCTCCAGGTTCAACCGAAAGCAGATGCCCCGAAGCGACCGAAACTACACTTCATATCACATCTTCCAGAGCGGGCAGTTTCAACGATTGGGAACGTGGCTTTGGATGAGAATATCCCTCACTTTCTCTTGGAAACATGGGTTTTTCTCAATATCTACTGCGAGCCCTTTTTGCTTGATTCCTTCACCTTTGACGACTACCTGGAGGCGATGCAGTTTAGTTCTGAGGAGGCCGACTGTGAACTCGTGGTTGAGATACACTGTGCATTGCTAAAGTCGCTTGTTGGGGAAGGAGATAACGGTAGAATTGAGATTTCCCTCCCGGAACTTCCAGAGAGTGATGACGAAGATGATGATGATGACGATGACGACGCAAATTCAACTCAAGGATCCGAATCTCCAGAGGATAAGGTTGAAGTAAAGTCCAAGGCAAACGGCGATAGGTCGAACCAGGATCACGACGTGGAGATGGAGGACGATGATGACGAAGACGAGAAGGATATTAGCCACCGAGCCGCTGATTTGTTTGAGGAAGGATCGGATTGGATTTCTAAACTCCGGCGACGGGACTTTAAGCACGCTGGTTGGCTGGTCATCATTGTTGGCCTCCTTGACCAACTCTCCCTGCTCCCAAAATATGCTGATGATGCAGAGAAAATTCTGTCTCATCTCGTTCCTGCGGACGAGGATCCCACCCCAGAAACAGTTAAAAAGCGATATCTTAGCCTTGACGTCAACCTCAAAGTTATGATACTACATATCCTCGTGGGACTTTCCTATGATGTTCCGATGGTTCGAAAGTACATGGAGGAGTGCTCAGAGGCAATGACGGAATATCGTAAGAAGAAAATCGAGCATCAGCGCTCAAGAAAGGTTTAGTAAGTGATCTTCTTCCCCAATTGATATGTAGCCAATTTCTTACCTTGACTGTAATTTAGCCTTGAGGAGCTCCGATCTCTGGAGGACGAGAGGAAAATTCTACTACCAGAAAATACTCCACGGTCAGCATCCCCAGAACGCATCACGCCAGAAGGAGATACCGATTCAAGAGTAAACGGGACGGATGACGAGGATGAAATGGACGAAACCAGTGAAGAAATGGATAATCGGAGGCTTCTTCGCCGTGGGGATGAGCGTGCCAATGCCAGGAAGCGGAAAAGGGAGGAAGAGAAGGAGAGGGCAGAAGCTGCGGCCAGCAAACCAAAAACCTCGGCACAATTTCAGCGTGTTCTCAAGAATATTGAGAAGATACGGGTCAAGATTGCAAAGGAGGAGGAGGAAATTGCAACGATTGACGAAGATCTTCGAGAAGCCGACTGCGCCAGGCTTCGACTCTTGGGGAAGGACAGGTTCTTCAACCGGTACTGGTGGTTTGAGCGCAACGGTATGCCTTTTGGTGGGCTACCTACGAGCTCCACGGCGGAATCCAAATATGCGAATGGTAGACTGTGGATTCAGGGGCCAAGTGACATGGAACGACAGGGCTTTCTGGAACTTACCTTTCAGCCAGAAAACGACTATGGGATGTCGGAGGATAGGATGGAACTCGACTCCCGACAACCACACATGGAGCGCAAAGCTCGCGAGGAGGGTGAATCGAGCTTACGCTTTGCCAATCAAGTCGCATATATCGAAACACCAGAAGAGTTTACTGCACTCTTGGCTTGGCTGGATATTCGCGGCGAGCGTGAGCTCAAGTTGAAAAAGGAGTTGGAAAATTTTAAAAAGAAGATCATATTAGGGATGGAAAATCGCAATGTCTACCTTGAATCGACGCTTGAAGATGAATCCGAAACCGAGTCGGCTACTGGCGTCAGGATGTCGACTCGTGGAAAGAATATCTTCAATCCCTCGGCGCATCGCTGCTTGAAGTGGAAAAATTCTACTGCGGTTGACGAACTTGGCCATACCCACTATGATCACCCATTGAAGAAAGCCAAGGGCAATAGGAAGAGCACCGGTGGGGACGATAAATCGAAGGGTGGGAAGCCTTTAGGGAGACAAGGCACAAGATACAATTTTTGATTTAAAAAAATATTCCCGAATCATTTTCTACTTTGTCCTTTCAGCCCCATTCCCCATAGATATCTAGCTCTTTGGAGTTTTTTTCTTGATTGGCTCTTCCTTTTTTTTTTTTCATTCTCCACCCCCTCCTACATTATACGAGCATATAAAACATTCCTCATTTCTTGATAATCTTTTTTACTTTATTTTATCTGTGGAAATCTGGAATTTGGTTTTTTTAACGACATTTGACGATATGTTGGCTTTTTTTTACATTTTTGTTTCTTTGAAGCTATTGGCTTCATTCCTTTTTTCTCCCTTCCTTCTTGTGTGTGTGTGTGTATTTCCTTCTGCTTGTGCCTTTACTTGTGGTTGTGTTTTTGGTTTGTCATTTTCATTCTGCTTTCTTTTTGTTGTTGAGGACTCAGATTTTTTTTTACAATATCCTCTGGCGCACCGGGTTGATTTTTTTTTTTTTTTTTTTTTGATATTGCGTCGTGCAAAGCTTCTTTTTTCTTTGAGTTCCTATCTATTTTTATTATATACTTGAGCTTTGAATTCCTAAGCTTCTTGCCTCTTCTTGCTCAGCATGTCTTCATTACTTCTTAAACTACCTACCTAACATGTGTGTGTGTGTGTATGTGTCGATTGCTTAGTTTCATGAACATACCATGGCCAGGTTACAATTGCATGCTGTTGAAGGCAATATCGATCGAGCCTACAATTCATTATTGAAACATCATGGTTATTTGCTTCTCACATGCATAGTATGGTACTTGTTCAGCTTGATTTCGATTATCATCATGATATTGTTAACGTTAACGTTATAATTGCGAGTGCAAGTTGTTGGTATTTATTTACTCTTTCTTCTTTGCAATTGGAGGAAATTTGAAGATTTGGATATACATCACATCACATCACATGTCGAGCGCGCCTTGCTTGCAATTGCAATTGATCATGATCAAGTTTCGAACATGATCATGAGTCGCATTTATTTTAAATACTTTTTTTTTTTTTTTAGCTATTTATTTACTTGAGTATTTATTTAAATTTATATCCATCCTACCTGTACATGTACATGTTTAAATTTTCTGCTTTTAAATTTGTTTTCCTTGTAAATTGAAACGTGCACGTGTTTTGCAATTGCTTCTAGATCTGAGGTGAAAACAAAAAAAATTAATAATTTGAATTAGCTATATATAGATGGAGGCAGAAATTGCAATTGTGTGATCAAGTTTAAGGAGAAAGGAGAAGGAAGGATGGAAAGGGTTTGCTAGTTTGCAAATTGATTGAGGTGAAGGTTGTACGTACGTACGGCCTAGGAGGAGGATTGCGGTTTTTCGAGGTTCTTGATTATTGTGATAGTTGTTACATAAATGTTGCTTGTAATTATAACTTGTAAAGATATTTACATTCCCTGTATATGTCAACGTTTTTCACCAACTATATAGTAAGTATGTACTCCCTGGCAGGAGACTACCGACCTAAAGGTTACCTAGGTAGGTACCTAATGACCATGGCCAATCAAGTTACAGTAACATTGTAGTTATCCGTATCCGTAATCGATTGAGAATTTGGATAGATAGAGGATAGAAAAAGAAGTAATGCTCGGGATTGCAGAATCTTGTTTCGATCTAGATCTGGATATCGGACTGTGGTTGACGTTTGGCAACGGGTTCTTCAATCGTCTCTTCAATCGTCTTTCCATGAGTACTTATACTAATCTTTGTTAAACGCCTTCATGAAATAGCCCGGTTGGCTCAGTCGGTAGAGCGTGTGACTCTTAATAACGGTTATCGAATAGCCCTGTTAGGTGATCTCAAGGTCGCGAGTTCGAGCCTCGCATTGGGCTTTACTTTTTTGCAAATTTTTTTTTTCTTGGTGAGTTTGGTGACGTCTTGTACTCGAGTAACATGCACGTTTACGATGTCTTTTTGCGTAACCTGAACTGACTTGGATATGGGAACGAGAAACATGTATTTCAACTATGTGTGTATGCATGATATACTCTGTATCGAGATCTTAACTCAAACCCGGGCGATTTATATATGCTTTACCAATGTCTATGTCTATATCTATGTTTATATCTTGCCCTGTGGCGGTATCGCCCCTGATGCCCCTCCTCCTCCTCTTGAGGTAGACGCGTGAGAATGGCCATGGCCGTTCTTCACCTCCTCCGGATATATCTTCGTAGACAAAGCAGTCTTGACATCAACCTTCCTATCCCCACCACTGCCACCACCAAACCCCTCCTCCACATCCCTAACCTGCTCCACCACTCCGTGCCCATATTGTTCCCTATGGCCACGGCCACCCTCCACCACTATCTTCACACCCCTCCCCTCCCTCGCCATCACCCACCCCCTCCACCTCTTATGCACAAGCACACTCGCCACCCCCAGCACCACAAAGCACGCAACGATACACCCCCCAATAACATCATACTTCTCCGTCAGCCTCTCCACGCCGTCCCAGAACTTTGACGAGCCCGGGGTAGGTTCAGCAACGTTGTAGATGAGCGAGAGGAGCTGGATCGTGCCGATAGCGACGGCGACGAGCACGGTGATGATGGTGAGGACGATGGAGTAGTAGAGGATGCTGATGGGGTCCGAGGCGAGGGAGGTGCTGGTGTAGAGCGCGGACATGAGCGCGCCGTCGGTGGTGTCGAGGAGGCACATTCCGGCTTGTTGGGAGCGAGGGGTTAGTGAGGGGGGAGCGGAAGGTTGGGGGAGAGGAGGGGGGAAGGGCCTTACCGGTGAAGAGGACGGGGAAGATCATGATTAGCCAGATGTTTGCGCCTTTTGCGGCCTGGATGGCGGAGATGCCCAGCAGCGCAATCTCGGAGGAGGTGTCGAATCCCAATCCAACTGCAGTTCAAAAATTTATTAATTTCTGCCATGAAACCGAGCCACGCTCGTTGTTTATTTCGGGATTCGAAAACTTACACATAACCCCGAGGGGATACATCTTCCACGGCCTATCAATCAACCTAAATGCGCCCTTAAACACCGTAAACATACACCCCGCGCCCTCCATCTTCAGCAGATCCCCACCGCCACCCCCACTCTCACACTCATCCCCAAACCCCTCCCTGCCGCCCTGCCCCTCCCCCCTCCTCCTCCTCTCCCTCTCCCGCTCGAGCCTCCCGCCCATCTTCTTCCACAGCCTCCACAATATCCAGATATTCACACCCGCCAGCACCACCAAAAACGCCGTCGACACACTCGTCCCAATGATCCCGCCCACGCGCGAGAAGCGGTCGAATTTCTCCGAGAAGGCGGCGGCCGTGGCGGCCACGACGAGAGACGTGATGACCACGATCGTGGAGTGACCCAGCGAAAAGTACATGCCCACTGTCACGGGCCGTTGGCCGGAGGCGATGAGACGACGGGTCATCAAGTCGATTGCCTATTTGGGAAGTATGTGAATTCCAACCCCCACCACCCCCCCCCCCCAAAATGGGGGGGGGGGTCGGAAAATGGAAATCGGAGGTTAGCCTCTTCTTCATTTTATTTTCTAATTTTTTGTCTTTATTTCGAATTTTGCAATCGTAGTTCGCATCCTCTCAGGTAACGGCAAAAAAAACGGTAAATTCAATGAATGTGGCAAAGGAAAAAAAGGAATATATACCCCCAATCTCATCCCCGCAAAAAAGAAAGAAAAAAAGCAAGTTAAAGAAACCCCACGCACGAGAAAAACAAAAACAAAGAGTAAAAGAAAAGTGGAAGTAGTTACCTACCGAGATATGGTCCGCATCAAGCGCATGTCTTAATCCCAGCGTGTACGCCAAAACCGCCGTTCCCATCAACGAACTATACATTTTTTGATTGGAATCCAGAAACACATCAAAAAAACTTGCCCACACATACATTCCATGATCCATTGCAGCTGGGAGGTATCAACATTCAAGGAAGGAAGGAGAGAGGAAGTGGCAATGGTTGAGGAGGTGTGAAGGAGGGAGGTTTGAAAGGAGAAGAAGATATATAGAAGGGAATTGAAAGCTGCAATTGCAATTGCAATTGCAAGAAAGATGTTGTTTGTGATCTAAATCCCCTCCCTCAGAAGGGTAGCTGTTCATCCAATTTCCTCCCTTCATCTCCGGTACCGGTAGCACACATACACAATGAATGCCGGCCCAGAAAACGAAGATGGAAATCAAAACCCACTTTATCGAGTATTTGGTCCAGGGAAGGAACTGGGAGAGATCGGGTATATATGTGCTGCAATAGCGCTAGCAATTGCAATTGCGGGTATAAAAATTTGAAAGAACAGAATGAATGAATGAATGAAGGAATGAAAAATCATTGTAATTGGTGAACAACCTAATTAAGATTTAGGAATTTCCCCGCCAACGCTCCTCGGTCCGGAAGTGAGGTTTCCAGCGGGATGATTTGTTCCAATATTCCACAAATTCATAAAGCTTAAGCTTAAGGATGATGATCATGAAAGAGGCAGGCCTATAGCTAGCGAGGAGAAAAGAGAAAAGTAAAAGCTCGAACCTATTATAATGCTACAACATCAAAATGTCAGCAATGAAATTCAAACAATATTGAACACCTCTCCACCGCCCCCTCCCCTAACCCCCGCCCCACCTTCCTCCTCTCAATTGGCCCAAATCGACCACAACAACACCCACCACATCACTTTGCAACCTCGAAACTCTAGAAAAAAATTCCCGGATATAAAAAAGAAATTAAATCAAAAAAAATTGAGGGGTTATACGTACCAAAACAACCCCAACCCCGCCCCAAACCAAAAGATTGACAATCACCAACACGATTATTATCCCGGACGCTTTTGGCGGTAGTCTCCTGAGGTACGGTATCCTCCCGTGGAAGTCCTCGGCCGCGAGACGGGCTTTCCCTAGGCGGGATGATGGGGGGGGCATTGCCGGCGATTGTGAGGGTTGTGGTGGTGAGCTCGAGAGTTGTGGTTGTGGTTGTGGAGGTTGCGGTTGTGGTTGTGGTGATCCCCGTCTTCCTCCTCCTTCGGTAGCTAGCCATGGTGGTGGTGGTGGTGGTGGTGCCGGCGCCGGCGCCGCGGCCGTAGCAGTAGCTATAGGTGGTATAGGGAGCGAATCGATATCTGCTTTCATTTTTCACTTGATATCGTGAAGTGGGGGGGGGGATTCCGGGATTCGGAGAAAGTCGGTACCGTCAAAGTTTGAAAAGCAATTGCGACTTCGAACTCGGTAATATTTCAGTATTTAAACAAAAATCATCCCCCTCCACCCCCCTCCCACCGGCGGTAGCCCCCCAGAGCCAGGGGAGGTATGTACTTAAGCTTATACCTTAAGCTTGATGTACCCTCCCAGCAGCAGCGGGGTACTACTTGCTACTGGGGTATATCCGGAAGCGGGGGGGGGGGAAGGGGGGACAGAAAAAGGAAAAGGAAATAAAACTAAAATAAAAATCCATCGATTGTACCATGGCCGACGCCCCTCCTTGCGATCCCCGATACGGTATCTGCGATGATCTTGTCTGGGCGGGCAAAGCAAGCAAGCAAGCAAGCAAGCAAGCAAGTAAGCTTAAGCCGGCCACGGGACGGGCGTTGACATGCGAGCGAGCACATGTATTACAAGGGCCCTGGAGGAACTAGAGTACATACAACCTGCACATGTACTGTACTTTGCAATTTTTGTACAGGTCAATCGAACTTTCGAACAATTAATTGCAATTGCCTAACCTCCTATCCGTACTCGAGCTCGTATAAACACTCTTTCGTTACCCAAGTAGCTATAGCTACTGTATGCAGCACAGTTAATGTAGGTACAGCACGTATCCGTACACTACACTACCTCTTATACGTACGACAACTGTCCTTTCTTTTTCTCCTTTTCTCTTTACTTACCTTTTTGGCTATAGCCAGAAGCCTGCACCTCCGTTCCGTCTCTTGGAAGCAGAGCTAGAGCCAGCAGCTTATTTAGTACAGTGGATACATACACACATGCTTATATTCCTGGGCATGCATGCGGCAGTGTCTCCGATACCAATCTCTAAATTTAAAGGAATACCTTGAATGCAGCTTTAGAACCCCCCGATCGAGCATGCGCAGCTACATATAAAACTCAACTTATTTATATGTTTATAAAAACGAAACAAGCCTAGAAATACATGTCCTATTATATCCACAAGACGAACAACTAGATGATGATGAACAGGAATTACAAAAAATGAAATAAAATTTAAATGAAAAAGAAGACAAAAAAAAAAAAAGAAAAAGAAAAAGAAAGCAAATTCTATCTATGAATGATGTGAATATGAATATGATGGGAAATGGTTGCAGGTTTGGTTGGAAGGCAGGGTGTTTTTCGTGGGGGGGTTCGGGGAGTGGAGAGGTATATACATGTTTGAACGATGATGATGGTGATAATATATAATGGTGAAGATGATGATGTATATGAATTCAAGATACCAAAAAAAAAAAAAAGAAGCCAACCAGCTTGAAATGAATGCTTCAAATACAAAGGTTTCCAAGAAGAAGAAGAAGAAGAAGTCTAAATGTGAGAAGTTGTGAGAAGTAGGTGCAGAAAGGGGGGCGGGTAGTGATGCTTTTTTTTATGAGGGGGGGGGGGGGGGTAAGATTCCGACCCTCCGCTTCATTCCGTGTACGAATGTACCGATACACATCATATTGTGTGGGTGTCACCATCCATTGGCTATCCTTTGGCTCAATTACTCCTTCCCAGCAGATGCCGGTGGAGCGGCAGAGGCCTTTCTATCGTCGTCACCATCCTTTTCTCCATTCCTTCTCCTCCGCTCAGGCTCCTCTTCATCCTCCTCATCCTCCATCTCCTCAATACCAATCTCCTTCTCCAACTCTTCCCTGAATAGCTCCTCCTGTAATTCTCTA